AGCAGGAATTCTTATTCCTAGGACTAGAAAGCCTTCTATACTACTTTTTAAGTTAAAGCTACCTATAGAGATATCGTAAACAGCACTATAGCACTAGCTTGCAAGTATGTATTTTTTCCATTCTTATGGAGCCCCCATGCATGGCTGATGCTATTCTACTAGGACACAACCATCAATTCTTACCAAGGAACACAACTGTGAAGTGTTACCAAAAGGCCTGTTCACAGGAAATACTAAGTTTCACCCATTTCCCCTTTAATAACAACTAGTTTTGTGAATCAGAAAAAGAGGATTTTTTGTGCCAACCTATCCCTAGCCTAGAAGTTCAGACAAATTAACCAAAAACCTACTCGGTACTTCCCTAACTCAGCACTGCACCTGAACACCAGTTCAGTGATGAAACGCAGAAAGTATTTTAGCATAACCTTCACTTTGTGCATGAGGGATGTGGGAGGCAAGAGGAGTAGGAAGAGCCAGGGAAGTGGAAGTTCCTGTAAACATCTGCATTTATCGAGAGGAAGAGATTTATTTACACCACTCCAATAAAAGTTTTATCAACACCTAAAGGCAAGACTGAGACACTGAAAAAGTACCCAGACCACAAGCTAGGATCAAGAGAGAGCAGGGTCTTAGGCCAACAGTTTCAGTATCTCCAGTCCTCCGCTCCAACAAGAGTAAAAGGCAAGCCAAAAAAGCCAATCCACTGTGGGAGGGGAGCGGCAGTCCCCACAGCAGGATGGCCCTGTTCACAGGTAACGTAAACGCTAGCAGAGATCAATCACCAACCTGGTTGGGTGTGTGGATCACGTCAAACTCCTTAACCAACTGGAAGGAAATAAACAAAGTCAACATAAAATAAGCTGCAGATCTCAGAGTATTTAACTGTTTTATGACGGCAGGCTCAAAGAAGCAAGATGCCACACTAGTGGAACAGTTCAGAGCAAAAACCCATCACCATTCTAGTTGCAATTCCTTATATATATATATATTTTTTAAACATAGATAAGAAGAATTTTCCAACTCAGGCAGCTAAAACTTAAGATAATCCAGTACAAAGAGAAAATAAAGTTACTGTCCTGCAAGAGATGCAAATGAGAAAAAAAAACACACACTGGCCTGTATGAAGAAAATCACACCACAGACTAAACTCATTTTCAAGCGAGCAACATTTTGAATAGACACATTTAAGCTGAATAAATGACTCGCACTAAATCAAACTCTAAGTGCAGATATACCACATTAGTTCAGCTCTGCACATTCCCCCCCCAATGCAGGATGCTTCCTAAATGCTTCCTTACAGCTTTAGGACTACAGGAAGAACAAAATTACTGCAGACTAGGAAAATAGTAAGGGTCCTACTTCCACATGAAAACTGAATTCCTCAAATTCGAGCTATAACATGCAGTCATAAAACAAGTAATCTCCAACCTAAGGGTCACAACGTAGATGCATTCCGGAGCGTATCTGAAAACCACCACTCTAGTGCTTGTAGTTCTGCTCAGGCATAGACATGTCCGACAGTATATCTGAACGCATCCAGAGCGGTGTCATTTTCAGGATTTAAATGCAACGTCCAAAGATAGGCATTACTTTTTAATCCAAATTATTCCCCACCCTCCCCTTTGGGAGTAATAAAAAACACCACTGAAACACCTATCCTTTTGTCCGAACTGTAACCCAGGTTACTTTAAACTTGTAAGAACAGGCATTTTATTCGGTTTTAAAATACACTGTTTGTCTTCCAAGTATTCCCCCCAGAAATAAGGAAGACACCTAAGACCATCTGAATGAAAGAAAACAGCCTCGATAACTACAACTAAAATCCTTTGCAGAGGAAAGCTACAGCTATTTACCTTGTCAGTTCTGCTTCCACGGCTGGCCCTGCCACCACGCCCTCGGCCACCCCGACCCCCTCTGCCGCCACGGCCGGGGCGGCCAAGGTCTCCAAAGTTGATCTCCAGCTGGGACGTGATATCATTTGCTGGTTTACGGAAGTGATGATCCATTACCGAGTCTTCAGCGTGAGCCTAAAAGCAACGATTTTTTTCATGAGTGAGAAAAATCACCCTTCTTAGAAAGTTTTACCATGTAGTTCTACTCTCACCGGCACCGCCTGTGTGTTCACCTCCAAACGCACCCCTACCTACAGTACTGTTTCAAGATAAAGATCAACAGAGCAGCAATTTTCATGAATCAAGTTATACCACCTCTAAAGGAGGCAAAAAATAAAATAAATAAATCACACCAACTACATAAGAGCAAGCAAACATTCACTGGAATTACTTTGAATTTAAGCATTCAAGCTAATGAAGTTATTTTGCGTTTCCAAGATAACTCCTGAACTTCCACAATTTCTTCAGAAGAGCAAGTTTAGCTTCATTTCAGATCAAACTGACCAGCATCAAGCCAATAAAGAACCTCATTTTTTTTAGTTTTCTCTTCCCACTTCCTAGTGGAAAAATCTTCCTGTTCTATAAATCATTTAGTTTTTTCTAAACATGCACCCACTAGCCAATCTTTATCTTGCTCAGTGACTATTTTGCATTTCCTCATTTGCTTAGTCTCGTATAATCTTTAAAGAAGGGAGAAAGAACAAACCCGTTATTGGATATCAGTCATAACAGATTGTGAACAAGGCATAAACAAAAGACACTTTAGTTACATTGCTTGAAGTAACTAACGCACTAACGCTAAAACAGAGAACCAGCCTCCCAGTCATGAATTACACTGACAAATATCTTCCACCATCTTTGCCATGATAAAACAACAACAAACAACACTCTTACAGCAAGTTTGATACCAACGCATTCAAGGTGAGAAACACGAGCCACTAAGAGCAAAGTGTGCACTGAAAAGTTGCACCTAACACTAAATACTACTCAGCACAGAACCAAGTATTTCAAATTATTACGCACTGAACACAGAGAATGAAGTACTTAAATTATTTTTCACTTTGCACATCTAATTATTTTTCCACACAGTTCCATTTTTTGGCGCCCCTGTGACGATTACACAAAGTGTAAAACTGCCTGTATTGGACCAGACCAAGGGTTCACCCAGTCCAGAAGTCCGCCTGACAAGGCCCAGGCACTGACGCTGTGGAGCCATACAACGTGCCATCGCTTTCCGGTAACCTCTGAACTTCTGGCGCGTCAATTCTCAATTTCTTCGTCTTTTCGTGCCTAAGTGCCATAGGCTTTCCAAGCTTGCTTACTGACTATACCTTACTTTTCTTGTGGTCTAATTACACAATAGACTGACTTTCAAAGGAAACGTATTGTGTAATTATACCAGCTACACCCTTTAATTACCTTTTGTGGATCCTTTAAAGGTAGCCAATAGATCCACAGAGCTCTGCAGTCAAAAGGCTGACAAGTGCTTTCAGGGATTTCCTTGGGCCAGTTACATGTACCATAACGCACAGAGTCATACAGCGTCTTCGCCATCAATCGACTCCCTTTCTGCGCCCAGCTGTGCGTTTGGCCTCCGCAACATCCTGCGGTGGAGAGCACTGCAACTTCGTTTGGCGCAATGAGAAACAGCACCCCACACTGCTTTCTCTCAAACGTATTTCACCGGAACGTATTTTGTGTAATAATAACTGGTGCCTGTCCCATTCCTGATCTGAATTATACTACTTTCCCTCGGAGATCTCTTTCCTAAACTTAGAAAGTTGGCCTAAGCCTAAGTTATTTTTCAGAGGAAAGTCGTTCAGCCTGCCAAGCTACAAGCAGAACTGCATACAGTATTCAAATACAAGTACCCCAACAATTTATAACAGTAAACAGTGTCTTCCGCTAAAATGTTGATCCTTTTCTACTATCTAATATTTTTATCTGCTGCTTTAATCACTCTCTGGGTACGGAGATGGTATTTTCAACTTGCTGGTAGCTATATTATGTTCTTTTTTCTGAGAGGTACAAAGCCCTTGATAGTACAACGCCACCGTGCATTTCTGCTTCTCCACACTATTATTGTTTGGGGGGAGGAAAGGAGGAGAGTTTACAGCCTACCAGAAATCATACTACTCTTACCATTTAACATTGGTTTAACCGCTAAACCCAACGCACCTCAAACTATGTGCCTACAAAGATAATTTCCTTGCTCAAAATAACTTAAGCTAGTTTAAAACAGTAATAAAAGACAGCATATTTCTCATTTTCTTCCTGCAGTTAGATGGCAACATATAACCACGGGCACACCAAATTGGTTATTGTGCATCTTCAAAATTACTTTTTTTAGTTTATGCCTAATAGCAACTCTCAATAGTACTGTAATACCTGATAACCTCTTGCAGGCACTGATGCGGTTATGGGGTCTTGGGGAAGGCTGTCAGAAACGTTAAGAACAAACCACTAACACAAAGGGGCCAGAGCAGACAGTGAGATGAGGGGAGGAAAGGGGAGGGAAGACTCATGATCGAAGCACTTAGGATGACAAGGTTTCAGTTCAGTTAAATTAGGAGCAAGGGTACTAAGTAGGAAAGATCCTGTATGGTGCACAGTTAAGACAACAGGCATGGACAGAAGAGCTCCATGTTGCATCTACTTATATTCTCTTTTTTGTGACTTCTTAGTATCAAGATCTTGATTTCAGAAGGAGATCACATCAAAACACAGATATCACCAGTTAGATATAAAGGATCAGTACCTCATTTGACTCCAGCAGACTCCCCTGCATTTCTGTCATCGCCTTTGTCTGATGAAAGTTGCGTGTCCACGCCAAAGTGACAAAAGGAACAAAGGGAGAAAACAAAAGGAAGAAATGAGACTCAACTACATACAGAAACAACAGGTAATAAGGTCACATGAACTTGCTGGATACAGATGTCACTGAGCACATGGAGCAGCAAAAGAATGAGATCAACAGCTGCGCAAGCATCCAGAAAGAAAAGAGAATGGACTACACCACAGGTTTGGAGGCAAGAGAAACCCTGGATCAATACTAACAAAGTTTAACACAAGCTGCTGCTAATTCCACTAGAGCCCAAGCACAGTTTGATCTCCAGCACCTCACTACGCCAGGCACACACTGAGAGCGTAACTAGACAGATGCAGATTTTTTTGAATAATTACTGTTAACGAGAAAAGTTTCCGCAGAGCCTGAATTCAAGAGTCACAGCTCCAAATTTTGAAAAGATGAACTATTTTCCAGAACACACTTCTCAGCCTTCCCATGATAACCTCCCCTCTAAGGAGCTGATTAGATTAGCAAGACAGTTTGAAGGCACAGCTCAACAGAAACAAAGTAGAAACTGATTTACTAACATATGACTCTTTCCAGGAGACCTGCATCAAACTATTTAAACAGTTTTTAAGAGCTCTTCCTTTTGCTCAGCTCTATCAGCAGAACTTAAAATATTCAAATCGCTAAACCACAGCTGCAGAGAGGAGAAAAAAGACAATCTATTTTATGACACAACCCAATCTCCTGGAAAGAGTCTCCTCAGACTAGTGATGAGACACAGTGAATTTTACATTAAGCCAGGAAGAATCTCAGACAGTATTAGGAGCTGATTTTATGAAAAAGTGTCACTTTCCAGTAATTGCAGAGCAAAAGTGAAAAAGAAGACGACACCTAAGATATAGTCAAGCATTTCACTCCTCAAAACAGGCAAGAAAACAAGTGGCAAAGGAGGACAGTTCTTTCACAGGACTGAGGCAGATGAACAGCACTAGCTCCTCACCTACTCCCTTTTCCCCCCAGATTCCTAAGGCATTCAACCCAATAGCTCAAGACAAACGTCAACAGGAACGAGGATGGTCATCACAATGCTTCAATCCACGTTTCCGAGAAAAGGTACTGGGGCATATTGTGATTTCCCAGCCGTAACGGTACAGAAGATCTCGGGCTGACACCTAGAGTTTACCTATAAACCCACTCGCTTTCACGTCAACTTCCTTCTCGCCATCACCCCTAACAGAAACCTTTGGCCTGGGATGAATTATTTCATACACCAAACTTGCATCCCTTTCGTGGCCCACAGGGTATCAAAGAGGACAACGGGAATAAGAATAGCAGCTAACGTGCAGGTTGTGTTCGTAACTTTGGATTATTCCACCTTCCCAAATCAGCTCACAGAAGGGCTGGTGCAAAAGCTTTTCCAATGCCTGCATTATAAAGAACATTTCTCTTATAATCGCCCCAAAAAATGCACCGCTCTCTAGGTGATCAGTGAACAATGAATAAGCAAAACAGGGACAGATATTTGCTGAACACAGAGTAATTTGAAATAATCTAAAAGAATCTCGATCTAAGGACAGTCTTGACAGTAGTTCCTTACTGTTTAAGCACAGAAGTGAGATTAAATTGTCTTTAACACTAATACATAAGTTATCTGACTCTTCATCTCTTCAAAGAGAAATTAACTGAATGCACTTCTGAAATAGAACAGCCTATTAATTATGTCAGTTCTTCTGTGAAAGTAATTTGATTATTCTTTTTAGTTCATTACCAGCACGTTTTCTGAATGGAAAATGCAGCTTTCCAGCTTTTAAATTACTCAGAAGTACCACTATCCTATATTCAGATGGGTAAAAGGAAAAAAGAAAAAGAAAAAAGAAAACCCACCCCACAACCCTTCTTCAGAGACACCAACTAACAAATAAATCTTTGGGGAGATGCCAAATACTTTAGAGAGATCACCTGTGAGGTGAGATTTCCTGAGAGGCTTGCAGAAACAGAAGCAAATCTTGGTAAAGTAGATAAACGCCTCTATTTAAACTTACTATTCTAATATTCAATAACACTTAGACTAACTCACAAAAGTTTCCCTCTTCTACAACAAGCCACAGAAAGTTATTTAATGAAAACTTCAAACACTGAGCAGCTTAATGAAAGAGATACAGAACTATTATCTTACACAGCGAGATATGAAAATAGCATGACTGTGGCCAGACGTCAAGTTAAGTCCAGTGAGACCAGAAATGAAATTCTCCTTGTGAGAGAGTAATGGAGTGCCACCCCATTTATGTTATATACTTCCAATATATAAAAAAAAAAAAAAGAAAGAGAAATGCAGAAAATACCTATTAGAAGACCAAACAGCATATTACATACCAATTACTTACTTCAAAAGAAGTTAGAACCAACTGCTAAACAAAGTTTTAGGCCACTGTTTAACATTAGGCTATTTAAGATATTAGTGTGTTAAAAACAAAGATTAAAAGCTCATGACAGTTTCTGAAACTGAATCCACGTGCTAGCCATGCGTTAGAAGACAAAGATCTCAGCACTTCCCTTCCCTCTAGAAGGGAAAAAAGCGCGTCTCCTTGCAACTCACTATTTTAAAACAGAATACAGACTGTGCAGGATACAAATGTTATGATGACTGAAGTGTTTGAGAAACTAACATTTTAAAGTGATTCTACAGCAATTGTGGTGAATATTACTGAAGCATACAATGTATTTCACCTGGTTTCCTAAAAACCTCAAAGACACTCAGCTACAAGATACAAACAACTGAACAAAAAAGACTCCTATGTTACCAACTAAGATGCGCCATTTAAACATTACGGCATCTAGGGCATGACCAGCGTTCTCCTACGATTTCCTTCTCTAACACCTTGGTCCTGCACTGTGTTTAGCAAGCACAATGAACTGGTGTGACAGAACTTTGACACAGCAATAACGTTAAATTTCTTTAAAAAGAAAAAAAATTTCATATTGACAAAATAACATTTTCTTCTAAAACGCTCACCCAGAAGCAGTCCTACAAAGTCACCCGGAGTGCAGTAGTATTTCACAGTCTAATCTCTACTAGTTAGATTGTATCAGTATACACCAACCTAAGGAGACAGGTCAACTGCTAACTAACCACAGTAAGAATTGTTCCTTATGCTCCTGCATAACTTAAATTTTATTAGCAGAAATCTTATTCCTGCACTATAAACATTTAATGACAGCTCAGCCTCTCCAAGAACAGAGGTTCTCTTCAAAGGACTGGTGTATAAAAAACCCCATACAATCTGGACACAAACAAATACTGAAAATCACATTACCTCCTCACTCTTTGACTTGTGAAGAACAAATCCTTTTTTCCATTGCCCATCAGCACCCTCATTTGGTTTACGGATGTTGAATTCGACTTTTGCACGATCCTTACTTTGAATAGCTTTCCATTCATCCAGGGTCATTTCTTTAGGACCTTCTTCCTTAACTTCTTCAACCTCATTCTCTCTGTAGTAAATTCATGGATATTAGGATCACGACTTAGAGCTCACACTCTATATATAGCAAATTCAAAAAAACAGTTTTATCAGCACCGGTTTATAGAAGGCCTTTTTTGTCAAAAATTTAGCAGTTAAAAGGAGGTAAAAAGTCATCTGAATCCCACCACTCAAAAAAAACACATGAAAGCTCATCTTCTTTAGCCGCCGTGGCAAAAAAACATAGCCAGATATCGTCAAACAACAGAACACAGCACAGTAAAATTTTAAAATTATTACTGACCCATGATGTCTGTTCTCCACATTAATTGCAATTTTCACTGCAAATCTGAAAGCCTACTTTCTGCAATGGACTTTTTTTTTTTTTTTTTTTGAGATCCCTCCCTCCCGAAGTTTCAAGTTAAGGCAGAGAGACAGCACTTGCTATCACCATAGTTCTCATACTCGTTAGTTTAAAAACAATTTTAAAAATACCTTTTATAGTTTGCTCCTTTACTGAATCAAAGACAATTATTGATATCCTGGCTAACTGAAAATAATTTTACTTGCAGCTGGCTTGAAAAAGGAACTACAAACACCTCAACGATTAAGTTACGTCACTTCAATGCAAATCTTTAGTGTCCCTAGTTTCTGCCAAAGTGCTATTTTTAACTTAAACACAAGCACTATGTTCTGTGATAGATCATGTTCCAGCTACACAGACAGTCAATCCTCTAGCCATTCTCCACACAGCATGTTTATGCAAGTAAAATTCTAATTTACAAGGTGTCAGGACACCGTAGTAAACTGGTGTTATGTCAGTGCAGTGAAAACATCGTGAAGGCATCAGCCTAACTGTTTTCATTCCATAGCCATTAACCTTGGTATGATAACGCAGAGGCTTTTCCCTCAAAATTATTATAAGCAGAATTGCAAGTTTTTTCTTATTTTGTAGGACAGAACCGTTTTCGACCGGCTACACTTTCAAAAAGCAAACGCATTGCTCTGGGCATAGATATTACCCCTTGGCGATCTGCACATTTTACTACAGTAAAGCATTCTACAGTTCTACTGAAACATCTAGATTAAATTCCACCAGTACAGCCAACTTCAGCATTAACCTATGTAAAGATGCTTTATTTCTCTAAACGCATACATGATGGGTAACAACAGAAGTGTTAAGATTGAAACTCAGAAGACTAAACGTTTTCTGCAAATCTGAGGAAGAAAAGGCAGGAAAAAGATATAGCCTGCAGAATTTTGCAGATAACTAACAGATCAGTACACGCATAGGTCAATAGCTGGTCAAATACGAGGACCTGTATCTTATAAAGACCCAGGAAATGATGAACACACAGCAAACTTCATATATCCAGATTTCCACTACATATAACTTATTTTTTAGGATTAACTCTCTTATTTTCCGACCAATGCTCAAGCTGCAATTCCTTAAAAATCCTCATACTCCTTTAAAAGAAGAGTTCTATTTGCAAGATGACCTTAACCTTGAATCTCCATGACCTTGGAGAAATAACAGCATTTCGCCTTTTATTTAACCTAAATTCATTTCTTATCCTCTACTCGATCGTTGTTTCTCTGTACAGCTAATCTCAAAGTTCTTAGTGAGGAAACCAAGCAATAAAAGACTCCATATTAAAAATTTTGGACAAATAAGTATTTCAGAATTCTCTTACCTGTGTGCCATTTTCCTTTGAATCCACCATAAAGAACACTCCTCACCAAAAATTCATTTTTATTGCACAGAACTACTGTAAAAATTTCTATCATGTTTTTAGTCAACCCTAAGCGCCCCAACTGCTCATCTTGCTTTCCTAAAATTAGTGTCATTCATCACTGCTTTCTTCTGCAATGCTCTCTGAGTGGAATTAAAAGCAGTCAAGTTAACTTCTTGGAGAGTTGGTTGCATACACAGGAACTGAAGAAGAAAAGAGATGCAAACTTTTCTCTACAGACCAGTCACAGTCTTAGCACAGCTGTTTTGAAAAGCTATAAATTTCAAGAGAAATGCCTTCACTGGCAAAAGAGTGTTTTTTCCCTTCCGCTCGGTTGTTCTAACTGGTTATGGGCATGGCTGGTTTTGGATTTGGTATTTACAGTTAGTTGCAATCCAGAGATCCTAAGCATATTAGATCTAATTATTAGATAACTGAATCGGAAAGTGACCTAAGAGCTTGCATGACACTAATGAATAGCTTCGAGATACTAACATGCAGAAGGCCTAGTTTAAGGAGACAGTCTTTCAACAGCACTGTGGATAATTTCTTATCTACTGAAGGAAATAAAATCCCAATATAGTAAAACAGAAGTAGGAACGAATATCAGAAAGTAAAGGAAAAGTAATACTGCCTTTGAAACAATCCAATCACATTTTAAAAGGGGTATTACTCACTTATTTTCAGAATCAACAGGTGGATGTTCTTCTCCTTCCGGCGTTTCCTCAGTTACAGCCGACTGATCCAATTCACTGCAATTAGAAAGTGTTTGGGGTTCTGTCTTTTAAAAAAATAGTTCATCACCATTCAAAAATACATATAAAGTTAATGACTAAGTTCCACAGCAGATATGCAGTTCTTTAATATTTTTAATGAAATAGTTTTGTAAAGATTAATGCTCTCCCCTCTTTTTAAACTCCACGGTTTCCATTTTCCTAACAGTTTTCCCCACCCTGTACTTGTACCCATTCCGAAAGCCTCACGCTGTCCCCTGAGACAGAAAATGAACTTGGGAATTAAAACTACTGTTTGCAATGCCATACTTGGAAAAAAGCATGCTCAAGCTGATCAACATTGTTAAAATAATAGTTTCATTTTCACTAAAAAAATCTTTAGTGAAAGAATTGTTCAAAACCAGCATAAGCTCCCCCCCTTCCAAACTGCCCCCAAATTTTGGTTTTAAAAGGAAAGTCATCTCTTATATTACCAAGAAGATACTATATTAAATTTCAAAGTTCCGCAGTCAAAGGCTTCTTTAATAGTGTAACAAAAATGACCAAAACCCCAGAAGGCAGCTAAATCTTTACAGTTTGCTAATCATATATATTAGCATTTATTAACATTCTGCTAATAGTTTTCTAAGCAATTGCAGATTACTAACGTTAGCTCGTCTTTGACGGTTCCCCAGTTGTGTGATCCACTGCCACCACGCTTGTCCTCATGCTTTAGGCCGCTGAAATGTGAATGTGAAACAGAACTAACAAAACTGAGTTAACATTATAGTGTCCAGATACAGAAATTCAAAGGTAAATTTTAAAATGTATATTAATTGTAAAGAATAGCCAAAAGAGCAACAGAAAAAGTCAAAGACTTACGATCTATCACTGCCACTATGCCTGTCAAATTCACGTTTGCCGCGAGAGTCAAACCCATCTCCTCTGCCCATTCCACGTCCGCGTCCACGTCCTCTTCCAAGTCCACCACGTCCACGCATAGGTCGGTCAAGAATGGGTCTAGCATGGAACAGCCAAACATGAATATTTCACCTCCGAAAGTGTACTGCATGGCTCTTGAGGTTTTTTATTTTTTCCTCTTCTCAGAATTGTGTTTACTTACAAATAGTAATTATCTCTGTAAAAGTAATTATTTCAGGAGTCTAGCTTCAATGCCAAATCATGGCATTAAAAAACCCACATATATAACCTAATGCAGTCCAGATTTTAGAATCTTGAAACAAATACTTCAGGATCATCATCACTGGTTTGCAGCCTCTGTCTGTCATTTCAAAATTTACTGTTGTTTGTATTGTATTATCTCACTAGTTGATATACACCACAGTTTCAATTTAACCTGCATTCACACAATTTACTTCTAAAAGAATTTTAACTCTTACTACTAAGATTTTAACTGCTGAATATGACATTCAGAACACTTGATTTCTGGAACCCACACAATACTCTGGCAATTTAGGCCTTGCCTAGAAAATTACAGTAGCCAAGAAGGTGCAAACACCTCCACAGACAAACTTTTAAGGCTTCGAGTCAGATGTATGTATTTAAGCAGCAGCTGCAACAACTAGCAACTTTCATCCTGCAGGGAAGAGCTATCCTTGAATTCCTTTCCTGACCTATCCTGACTTAGAGAAAAGTAACCGTCTATGGAGGATGTTTTACTGATTTTAAATCACGCTTAGTCAAACCAATGGAACAGCTCCTATGTTAAACCACTCCTTGTCTAAAATCTGATTTAAATATATAAACAAAATCATGCTACAAGAAAGAAATGCATGAGTAATGTTTTTGAATAAAAATATTGATACCTTAAATTTGTTTTAATCACAATCAGCTCAGGGATTTTTTTTTTTTAAACTTGGTAGCAGAAGAAAGGATAACCTCCCTCTAGAGTATCAGAAAACACATGCAAGACAAAAATTCTTACTTATCAACAGAAAATTCTCCTCCTTCGCCCTTCTCATCAGCAGGTTTATCAAATCGGCGTTCTCGAGGAGGTCGTCTCTCTGGTCTCCTCTCGATGGGCTTGCCTTCACCCTGCTGCTGCTGCTGTTGCTGCTGCTGCTGATCAGGCCTCCTGCCAATACGCCTTATCCCTAAAACATTAGGCAAAACACATTAACGGAATTTGGAGCTGCTCAGGAAGAGATACCAATGCTAACATCATGAAATAAAGACAAGTGTAAGTTGGAATTGAAGTTTTTATTCCAGTCACCTCCAGACTAGATAATCTGAGAGTCTATCCTAAAAAAGAAAAAATAGTAATAATAAAGAAATCAGTGTAGATCATTTCAGCGTTCAAGTTTTTTTTATAAAGCGTCTGACTCAAATGTGAACTCTTACAGTATCGTACCAAACTAAGCCCACGACCAGCACACAATTCATATGTAATCTGTGTTAAAATGACATAGTCAATTCTAAAGGAAGGATCACGTTAAGCTAGAAATTTTTTTCTGTAAAAGGTTCTTGCAGGTAAAACGTGCTCTTTATTTGGATGTGCGCTAAAATGAATTCGGCATCTCTACCAGGGAGGTAAGTCCCCTTTCATTCTACTGTGCCCTACTAACAAACTTTTTCAGCCAGCAGTTAGGAGCTGGGGCAGGGTGTGCTCTGCGAAGGACAATCTTTACCCAGACAGGTGTTACGTGCACCCGCATGAATAGGGAGCCTGGTACAATAGGATCCGGTCAGCGACTAAACGAAGCATTAATCCACGCTCCAATCCTCACAATCCAATACGTGCTCACTGACAAAAATTCACCTCGATGTGAATTAGACAGCTAACTCCCTCTCTCTGCCTTTAATTTCACCTCAATTAGGCCGTTTCCCTCTCCTTCTATACCCCTTCCTCCCACTTTTATCAAAAATTTTTAAATAATCACTTCTTACGGCGTTATCTTCTTCACGAAGACATTTGAAGAATCCTGAATGGATAAAAAAACTCTATTTATCTTCCAAAAGACCTGTTTACTGTTCTTTAGAAAGATCTGGATGAACATATCACTCCATCCTTATCCTATTAGCTTTTCACAATGTTTAGAGAAAAAACACCAAGCAAACCACAAAGACTGCCTCAAAAAATGCAAGTTTTCTTTCAAATTAAAAACTCTCAAATTTTAATCTTTTTAAATAAGTTCCTGCCTAACAAGCAATGCCAAATTTAGGGTGGGGCTAAAAAAGTTACAGTTGTAATGACATCCAAGCCAACACACCCAAATGAACAATGTCTTCCTCACCTTGCAAGCTGTATTTAACATTAAGTTTGCACGACATACATATCTTGCTAAGTAATCCTTCCTCACTAAAGAAACACATGAGTTTAAGCTCACTGACTTTGAGAAGAACTCAAACTAAGAAGGATCACTCCATTCTAGAGGTAAAGCCAGGGAGAAAGTGAACTGTCCAAAGTCACACAGGAGGTATGCTACAGAAGTGCAAACGAATAATCCAGCTCTTCTGAACTTCAAGTTCAACACCTTGTGCCCAGAAAATCGTGGTTCCTAGTGCAGCCTACCCAGAAATATAAATTACCTCTTGGTCTTAGTATCACATAGCTTTGAAGGGGTAACTCATCAGCCAAATAATCTGCACCTTTACAGACTAAGGCAATAGTGTAAACAGTAATATATTCACTCAGTAAATAAATCCTGTTAATACCATAGCACCAACTACCTTTATAATGTTAAGTAGTATTGTCCCATACAAGCATTGAAATTTTCAAAATTGAAGGCGACTGGTCTCTTACTGAAGTACTCCATACACACGGCTACAAAAGAAGGTTTGGCTTTCTCTGTTTCATTGCTACAATTCACAAAGTTGAGTAGTGTTTGCTCTTGCAAATAAATGTGCAAACTGCTATGTACATACTGATAGCGAGTCTTACCAAAACAACCCTCAGCAATCTGCTGTATTGGCCAAAGACACTGCCCATGTTTCAGGTTTACTTTTTGAGGAATACCACCATAAATCTGTATCCAAATTAAGTACTTCCAAAGGACACTTGTTTAGCAAACCGCCACTCAGGATAAGTTACTGCATTCCTCATATGAAAACCCTCAAGCATCAGACTTTGAAGTACAAAAGATGCATAAGGAAAGGGTACTGTAAAACAGTTCTCGACTTCTGTATATCACAAGGTATTTTTAAGTAATATTTTTGGGGAGGGGGTATCTTCTAAAACAACAAACGTACTGAAAGTTTTCCTTTCTTAAAAAGCATAAAACCCGGTGGAGAATCATTCTGCAACATGTACAGTATTAAAAGCAAAAATATTAACATAGCCTCACGTAGCAATTTGCCCTCTTGCGAACAGAGAGCATTTTCAAAGAGGCCATTTGGAGTTAAGTTTGCAACTGGTATGTATTTCTTCGCACAAACGTTAACTGCTCTCGGCATACATGCACCTCGAGAGCTCCAAGTTGCTCACAATTCTGGCCAATTAGACGTGCACGTTTCCTTGCGTGCAGTACAACCGCCTGCCACACGACTGAACGTATGTACGAAATCCACCCCTTCTCAGGCAAAATTGTGCCTTTACTCACTTTTCCCAGAACTTATTTAAGCTTATGCCACTCTGATTTTCTCACAAGAGGAAGCCAAAGCTTCCCGTGAAGTCTACTGAGATGCCTTACGGGTTTGCACAAATGTGGCTGAGCACTAATAAAACGTATTACTGCAACGCATACCTTGGTCCTATCAACTGCGCTATGACGCAA